CTTGACGGCTGATCAGGGCAGCACAGGACATAATTTCTAGAGAGACTTCCTGTGAAGGCTTCCTTACTGGAATGGGAACGTCTCACTTTTCCTCTGCTGTTCTTATTTCAGAAAGATTAAATTTCTGCTGTGGCAGAGCAATAATCGTGTTCATGATTATTACTCTGCCAGAATAAACGTTACTGCTGGAATGAAGGAATGGAAGCAGTATACACAGGATGAGTAGCAATCATTACTGGTAATTTCTTATTAGATTAATAACATACGTGGATAGAGATTTTGTGATTCTTTGTGGTGTACACAGTATGGAGTGTCCAATGTGTTTTCCCAAATGCCAGCTGTGGCCAATCCGATCTTGAAATGCTGTGCACAGTTACAAGAACAAGTAAATATTAGGACTGTAAGGGGGTTTACTGCTATTTCAAAATGTCTACACATCTATATGCAAATGAAATTCAGCCTTGGGCTCTTTGCCAGTTGTCAATATGCCACGCTGGTGTTGCAATGTGTTCATGTGCCTGTGATAGGATGAGGAAAATTTACAGGGCTAGTTATCCTAAGGTTTCACATTTTCCATCAAACTATGAATTGCATTTCACTCTGTGGTTCATGACACTCAGGAGTTATCCCAATGGACTCATCCTTATTTACTGGTCTCTGTCAATCTCCACTGGCTCACATTTGTCTATTTAGCACAACCTTGTAGCCAATCAGCACTCAGCTATTGTCTGCACCAGAAAGTGTCACAGGTTTAACTTAAAACCTGTTTTTACAGCAGTTGAGATAAACTGACACAAACCCTTCTGCGGACACTTTTTTCAGTTTAAAATTGGCTGATTAGCTTAAACCAGTTCCTAGTCAACTAAAGCTGAACCAAAATAAAACCTATCTGAAGGAAGCATGTTCACCAACTCTTTTGCCCAGTTTAAAAATCACACCTTAAGTTATACCGGTGCAATCTACTGGCAGTGAAGCCCTGAGTAATCTTTGAGTTCTCATTCTCTATATTAATCTTCATATTGTTTTATTACTGGTGCTGCTTATACAACTTGTCAGTGGGCATTGCCCTGTAAAGCACACTTCGTCCATTGCAGGGACAATTGTAAGGAGCATTTACTTATATTTTGGCCAGGTCTGATTTCACTCTTGTTGTTGTTCTGTTATACACACAGTCTCTGCTGTTTCCTTGTGTGTGATCAGAGAACTCATGTCATTTTATCATTCACTTTACACTCAACTTTCTAACAGCAGGCTCTAGCCTAGCATTTGTATCAGTGCATGAATACTCCCTCTCTTACAGCTTTGTTGTATGAGCTTTGATAACCATTAACGTACTATAGGTGAGCAATGCTTAGCTTTAAAAGCTTCAGTCATTCAGGTCACAGTTTAAAGGACTTCTTCATCGAATAACTTCCCTGATGCTTCCTGCAAGCTCTGTCTGCACTGGAGCTTAGGGGAAGATTCATGTCATGGCTCCACTGAAGTTAATTTACATCAGCAGGGGATCTGCCGCTAGAGTCAAGTTTTAAATGAGCTGGGAATGCAGATACCAACATAGTTAGAACTTGGTTTGTGGCAACTTTGTAACAGAATTATTAAGGCCTCTGTTGCAATCAAGTTCTAACCCTTCTGGGGACCTGGGGCACCAACACATCTACATTCTATAGCCTTGTCTGCATCAGATAGTTTTCAGAGTAGCAGCCGTGTTGGTCTGTATCCGCAAAAAGAAAAGGAGTACTTGTGGCACCTTAGAGACTAACGAATTTATTAGAGCATAAGCTTTCGTGAGCTACAGCTCGCTTCTGTAATGGTATCTTTTTGGTTTTTTTCCAGCAGAAACTGCCCTGACTCCACCAACATTTTGTCTCTTTTTGGTTTGTCTCATACTTTAAATCAGAATAATTACAACTCTTTGGAAGTGACTTAGCTCTGTTTCAGTAGGACTTCTATAGGTAAAAGGTATAGGTAAAGGTAACTATCTCCATGTTGGCATAACTAGACCGCTATAGTTAGTTCTTCCACTGGTATCATACAGTGCATACAGTGCATTGCTTCACACCTGGAATGGCTTGTCTGGTTACCTATGTGCATTCTAGGGTCTACTGGACTGGATAGCAGAGACATTGGGCACAGGCACCATCTCCAGCTGTTCATAACACTCTGACAGTCCCTCCATCTCTGCCTGCCATGCATCAGTGAGGTCCTCGCCCTTGGTTTTAACAAATGTTTTGCTAAACTCAGCAAGCTACCTCGGGGATGCCTCAAGTCATGTCATCAGACACGTCCACCTTCCTAACAGTCTTCCAGATGTACACTCCACAGATTTTACTATAGTTAAACAGCACCTTCAAAGGCTTCCTAAGCCCTGGAAGCACAGGGTAAGCTGGGTCTCCCAGGATGACAGTTAGCATTTTAACACCGTTAATGCCCATGGTGACTACCAGGAGCAAAAATTTAACTTTTCATTGCATTAAATAAGAGTGAGTTTCAAAAGATTCTGGCTTCATGGACATTTCCAGGCCACTCCACACTGACATTAGTGATCTTGCCATGGTGATCAGACCTTCCAAGACCATGCACAAATATCCTTTTCTCTTGAACCCTGAGACCTGGTTTAGGGTGCAAAAAATAGGTCCCATCACTGGTCCTTGTATAATTTGGGAACCCCAAACATTCAAAGGCATCAGTTGTTCTCTGTGCATTGCCAAGCTTTTTGACCCAGGGCAGCAGCTCATGTACCTTCATCACAACTGAATGGTAGTACTGAGGGGTGGTGAGCTTTGCTACAAACCTCTTCATAAGGAGGGGAGCGCTCATGTAGGGCCCAGCACTGCAGCTCTGCACAGAGTTCCAGGAAGATGGCCTTCTGCATCCAGATTTTCCAGCCACTGCTGGTCATCCCAGGTGTGCAACGCTATCCTTTCCTACCACTCGGTGCTGATCAGGCCCAGGAGCATAACTCCACCCAGTGCAGCTGGCCAAGGAATTTGTCAAGGAGTGCCTACCTGGGTCCTTCTACTTCCTCCTCTAAAAGTAGCTGTGTGGAATCACACTGGTGATGTGATCTGCAAATCTTCCCCGGCTGCATGACTGCCAGTAAGTTACTCACCCGTTTTGTGTTAATAAACAGGATCACTGTGCTTCCTCCATGCTGCATGACAGCAGTTTGAAAATGGCTCTTGTTAATGAAAACAAGATGAAGCATAGAATATTGCAGGAGGGATCACAGGAGCTTGACCCCTGAGTCCCACAATTCTGATACATATCCCACAGTCTACTACAAAAGCCAACTGTAATGCATAATGCTTAGTGACATTACTTTGCACCTTGGGATACTCACCCAGAGTACTGCCTGCTTATATCAAAATAGTGCCAAATTGTGTGGACATAATGCTTCACAAATGAAGTAGTTTAAAGCAGTGTAGAGAAAGTACTGTGTATTCCCACTTCAGTTTAATTATATCAGTATAATTATACAGACATAAGTTATGCCAGTACAATTTTTTCATGTAGACAAGGCTTAAGGCCCTGTCTACACTATGGGCGTTTTCCAAATATTTCCCACTGCTGCTGAATCTGCCATAAGCATGTTCACGACACTTGCTCTAAACAGGCTTCTATGGCATAGTGTCGAATGCCAGCAGCCCATAGAGATTAGGGCTCCCGGGTAAAATTTTCAAAAGCCTCTGAGGAGTAAGAGCCTAAATCCCATTCACCTTCACTTTTGAAAATGGTACTTGGGTTCCTAAGTCACATAAGGCTGTTTTGAAAATTTTATCCCCCAGTATTGCTAAAACCAGTGCAGCCAAATTGGTACTGGCAATCATAGGATATTTTTACAAAATTTCCTAACTCCAGACAGGCGCTAACAGGGCTTTGTGTCCGTGTAGATGGAATTCATTCTCTCAACGGCTGATCTGGGTAAGCTGATCCTCCTACCTTCCAATCTTCCTGGTGGCAAATGATTAGCTAGTGCTCTACACCATGTCTTCCCAGTACTCTTCTCTATCTGCATCAGCGGTCCCAGAGCCCGCTGCTGCCTGTGTAACATCAAGTACCCAAGTCCTGGCTACAAACTAGTCAGTAGCACATGCCCATTGTCTAGACTCTTCTCTTCTCCTGTGAGTTAGCTCTTCTGCTGTTATTTCATGAAGTGGAGAGATCATCCACATGGTGAAAGTCCAAGATGAACACTCTCATCAGCAGGGTCCATGAATCAACAGCAGTTCTCTTGTCCACAGAGCTTGCAGCTTGCTCTTCCCTCTGACTTCAGCCTTCCCCTGCTTCTATGGAAGCTCTCCAGTTCTTCAGCCCCAGTTGTATGCCAGGATGAATAAAAACATATAATCCTTAAAGATCAGGTGGGAGAATGCCTTATACAATCCAATTACTGGGAACATGCTTTGGTGAACCTGTCTTTTCCACAGAGTTCTGTGTGAACTTCGATTTTATTCCTGTCAATTTGGAAAATAAAAAAAATAGAGACTTTTCCACAGAAGTGTCTGAGGGTTGACAAGACTTCAGTTGCCACGTGCATGGTACACACCTCTTCAAGGAAGCAAAGTTCAATTTTAATTGCACACTGTGATCTGTGAGGTAAATAGGGATTTTATAGAGGGATTTTTATAACAGATTTTTTACTTTTTGGCTCATGTTAAGCGTAAGGACCAAATTCTGCTTTCATTTACACTGGTGTAAATCCAGAGTCACTCCATCACTTTCCTCAATGCAAATACCAAACTAGTTCTCCTCTTGATGGCAACTCTGATTAACACTGATGGGAGTTGACAGTATGCAACAAGAGAAGTGGCTTCAATGGTGTTATTCTGGATTTACATGAGTGTCAGTGAAAGCATACTTAGGCCCTATGTAAATTAATGTTTTGGAGGAGAAAAGGTAAAGTGATTAATCATTTGCCATTAGAAAAAAACCCCAACTTTTCAAACTGTTGCACAAAGCACAACATAAATTTCCAAAACATTTATTTAACTTTGCTTTTAAACAACTAAAATCTCCAACAGCCTGAAGTTTCAGAATAGAGGAAAGGTTTACAAGAAAATAAAACCAGAGATTTATAATGCATAACTTGACAGATCTTTAATTACAGTAGCACTAAAAGATGTTGCTATTACATAATATGAACTATATTATCATCTATGTTCCTCTTTTTAAATTAAGAAAAAAATGGCACACACTTCAAAGTCCTTTGAGTAACATCCATTTATTTCAATAAAGCCAGCTTCTTTCCCTTATTTATAAACTCCCTAAAATGTATAATTTTTTGGGGGGTGGGGGAGGCACAATAATCTAACTACTTAATTTCCAGTACTGGTCACATGTAGATAAATCAACACACTAAATAAAGGCTATTCACTACAAAAACATTCAATTCAGTGCAGGTGTAGCTGACACAGTGCTTCAAATGATGAGCTCCCATCTTTAGTAACACTAGATAAGATAAACTGTTTGCCCTATTTTATTAACTAGTGAAATGGACATCAAAACCGAAAACAACTAGAACTAGGGTGTGTCAGATGATCTGTGTTTGGAAGTCATCAGACTTTACTCCCACTACAAAAGGTTCTATTAAATGTAACCAGTAACAGATTGCTTCAAGGTCTCAGCAATCTGGAGAAGGAGGTTGACTCCTGGGCCTACTGAATCTGGGATACAGGAAGAAAAAGACAGCAACAAGATATAAAGCTATTGATAAGCACTACAGTTAGTAAGGTGCTATTTATTGCACCACAATATTTACAGAGTGAAGGCTTCCATGAAAAACAAAATTTAAAACAGGTTCCTCTGACTTCAAAATAGTTCAGTCCTTTTGAGTCTTTGAAACTTTTTTGTGTGAACTGAAAAAAGCAATATACTGAACTATCATTTCCTTTGCACCAACAAAACCCAAACAAAATACCTTTTCTTTTGCATAAAACCAAGTAATGAACAACAACTTCACTAAGAACTGTAATAAACAGGTTGAACGCTTCAATAAAAACAACTTGTTTAAAAATGTAATAGCGATCTTAAAACGTTATCTGTTTTATCATTGTTTCTGGAGTTTTTCATAATTCAAGTGTTTCAGAAGATTCAGTGAGTTTTACAGAGCCAGCTATACTTTTACTTATTTATTAAAATAGCATAATTAAACTTTTAAAACTAAACGGGTATTTCCTCAAAGTTGGTGGCTCCATAGCATTACGTCTGACTATGAGGGACCATAGCCCCAGCAAGTTAAATCTTGGAGAAAAGGAGCTGGGAGATGTACTGATGCTCACTATCAGATTAACTGCTTAATTTCCAGTACTGGTCACATGGAGATGAATCAAGGCACTAAATGAAGACTGTTCACTACAAAAACATTCAATTCAGAGCAGGTGTAACTGACACAGTGCTTCAAATGGTGAGCTCCCAGCTTTAGTAACACTAGGTACCATAAGATAAAGTTGTAAGGTTTTTACCAAAGCCTCCAATGTGGATGGAAGTGCTGTGCGTGCCTATGCGCACACACTCACACACACTTTTTTTTTCTGTTGCTTACTGGCTTCCAATGGTTTGATTAAAAACGTTAATGGGAGAACACCCCTCAGTTGATAAGTACAGTATCTGATTAGACTTTGTTTTTTGCCTTTTACTATACTTTAAAATGAAACACTTTCTTGAGTTGATAGTCCAGGAAATTACAGGCTATCACCATTTTGATTTCATCATGGGATGGGGTTTGGTCAAGGTAAGAAAACAAATCCAAAGAAAATGTATTTTAATACTTATGAGATTTTACTCTAACATCTACACATAGTGAGTATTGTATATTCTTGGATCAGAAATAGTATGACTCCCACTAAGTGCTCCTCATCTCTTTCTTTTACCCACCCCTATCTAACCTCATTTGTGGTATCAGTCTCATATTTTGTGATAACCCTTTGATTTATGGCCTGTATTCTGGGAAGTTTATATATTGTATTTTTTTCATTCAGTGCTAATTAGGATCAATTGAATTTTTTAGTATATTGGCAAATTTCTGCAATGAGGAGCTTTACATCCATTTCTACTAAATTTTCTAGCATTGAATATTTGTAGCATTGTGCGAAACCCCTTTTCACGGCAGCTCGTGCAACTATGTCTTTATCTAATGCATTTTACAGTTCCTCAGCTGTAAAACGACCCATTAGCCATAATAGCTAAGTAAGGGACAAAATGCATTTATTCTAACGACTCCACCCTAAGCAGAACAACTTTGTATATATATTAAAAAGTAGCTGCTACAGGATTCTTTTTATGTATTTGACTGGACTTGCACTTGATTTCATGTAACCAATTATGTGGCAATGTGTCATCAACGAGTTCAGTGGCACTGAGGCCCCACTTTAGCAAATCACTTAAATGTGTGCTTAACTTTTAGCCTGTGCTTAAATCCCAAATCAAAGTTAAGCCTATGTTGAGTGCTTTGCTGAACAGGGATGGAACTTCTAAGCTTGTCATTGGTTTTTGTCTTGTGCTATTTGAATAACAAAAAAATGCTGCCGCATGATGCAGATGCAAGACACAACAACAAAACTGGCTAAAATTGATTTCAGAAGATTGTGTTCTGAGTCTTCTGCACAGACAATGGGCTTCACTGGTGAAGAACCATAACACCAGTGGGTAAAAGGAAGTTGTTGTTTCTATAAAAGTATATCTTCTCTGTCACTGTCTCCAACATTGTCACATTGCAAGCTATGTTACAAACACAAGAAAACTGGAAATGACAGCGTTATTACAGACATAAATCACAGCATTACAAAGTATATAATATAGCCGGTTTGGGGTTTTTTTAATTGAGGAAAGCAAGCTTAGCCCTAATAAATAATGAGAATTTCAAATAAATACACCAGTGCTCATGACAGAGCAGTAATTAATTTTAGCCTCTTTGGCTATGGAACTAGGTATACTGAGACCACAGCAATCTTTTCCCTTCTGCAGGGCCTATGGGAAGCTCAGTGGCTATTATTCACGGCAGCTGCAAACTCAGTTCTCTAGCACCTCCACTGAATTTGAATGAAAAATTCTAAAGCAGAATCTAATACACTCCACACAACTCCAATTGTCGTTGATTAGAAAGGACAGAGAAAAGAAATAGTAATAAAAATGAAATTTCTTATGTCTTCTGAAACACTAGAGTTATAAAAAGCATCAAAGTTTACTTTTAGCATACTAATTATTAGAGATGGGCTGAACGGGACCAGAAAGGTTGGGGCTATCCTTGAAAATAAAGATATAGTTCAGATGATTATTTTATTCCTGATGTATCACCAACGGGTCAGATGGTTTGGGTCACTTTTGAAACACGTTACCAACAAAACCCTATGAAATAAATTAAACCTGTCATTCTTCTGGGAGCTCTTCTAGGATTATGTTCAGGCACCTAACAAACACCACATGCTTTTTTTCCAAATATTATTTGGATTGGGTTATCTGGCTTCAGGCAGGGATTCTGATACAGGTAACTAGACAGATTGAAATGATTCAATCCAAGTCCATCTCTCCTAATTACTCAATATGTATATTTTTAATCTGCAATAATATTTTGCATACCCTTGCAGCATAAAAATATGGGGAAAAAGTAAACAATTGATGTCATAATACTCCAATGACTATGTCTCTACACTTCACACTCTAGGATTTTGAGGTCTTCAAGCAGTTCTTGCGCCAGTGTTTGCAGCTCTGCGTTGCGGCTCTTTGACAGTGCTATGATACGTTGAAATGGCAAGGTGTCACGCATCTCAGGTGCTGACTTTGCTAAAACTTCTGGCTCTAGAATCACAGACTGGAGAAGCCGTAGAACATGCAGACACACTTCTGTATCTGGGTCTAGAAGTGAGGAAGAAAAGATTCCAGCTACTTGTTACATGCACCCTTATATGCCAGGACTAACATTATAGCTCTACATCACCATCCCTCATGGACCCTGGGTAAAGAGAGAGTGGCTAAAGTTCTGCTATTCTCAGCTGCTGAAATGGCTCTTTGGGGCTGGCTGGCCCCAGAATCTGAGAAGATATATAAGTGGCTTAAAACCACCACTGCTCTCCTCCTCAGTTCCCTGTGCTAAGCACTTGTTGGAGGGACCTGGTAATCAGGCATATGTTGTTCCCTTCTTCTTTACTCCAAATGTAGCAAATCCCACAGATATGTGGATTTATCAACAACTTTGTCAGTAGCCAAGATTTACAGTTTGCTGCAGTTTCACTTAGAACAGGATAAACTATGTCCCATTACTGTTTAGTCTGTTTTAAAACATTCATTCTGCAATTCTTATAAGGCTTTTCTTTATCTATATAAGGTTCAGATTCCATTTAAGCTCAATAAAACCTCAACTTTAATCAAATACACTTGGTAATAATATGCCAGTCCTCCAAATGCTAAAAATGCAGTTGACACAAACTGAAGTATTGGGTACATTTGATTTTATGGTAGTGGGACAAAACTGGTTTAACTGCTTAGGAACATGTCAGAAAAACATGCCTAGGAAGAGGTACAATTAATTTTGATTTCCATTGTTAAAGGAACAGGATGCACTTATTACTATTGAAATATTAGGAGTGATTCTATTTTAATTATACCCAACAGTCTGTTGGGGGGCTGTTTGTGCCTTTGCTAGATACATCCAGTAGGCGACTCCTTTTATGTTTATATTCTCTAGTTTGCATATTCCAAACTTGTATTTCTAATGTATTTGGTAGCTAAAATATCTATTTATTTGTATCATATGCTGTGCACTTCTACGGTGTCTGTCACTGTCATACCTAGATTTCAGTAAAGCCTTTGACAGAGTGTTGTACGAAAATGTTGAAAAAATTAACTGAAATTAGTTTGCATACCAGCATTGCCATGGGGACTGAAGTCTTGCAGTAGGACCACAAATCAAGTGCAGTGATAAATCACAATGCCCTGAGCTGGAAGGAGGTGTCAAGTGGGCTAAAGCAAGGTTCTCTTATTAGTCAGCTTACTTAACACATTTATTAATGATCTGAAATCACGGTAAGCAGAATGCTAATTAAATTCACATACATTAAATTGGGAGGTGTTGAAAACACCCAACAGGATAAGGAAACAGAACAGGGCCTAGAAAGGTGAGAAATATAGTCAAGAAATGACAAAAGATTTGTCCAGATGGGGAATTGTATGAAACAGTTCAGCAGAGCAGGCATTAAGCACTGGTGGCTTCTTCCAATTTTACCAATATGTTAGTTCAGGGGTCGGCAACCTATGGCACGCATGCCAAAGACGGTACGCAAGCCGATTTTTAATGGCACGCTGCTGCCTGCCAGGTTCCAGGCGCTGGCTCCGCTCAGCCTGCTGCTGAACCCAGGCCGGCAGCGGGCTGAGGGGGGCCGGTGGCCAGGACTCCAGCAGGCAGCAGCATGCCATTAAAAATCCTGCCCGCCCCGGCCCGCTCTTCTCCCCACCACCCGCGGGGCAGGGTGAAGAAGCTTGGTCCTGCCGGCTACTGCTGCAAGGCAGGCAAGGTCCCCGCTCCCCCGCCTCTTCCCCCAGGGTGCTGGGTTCCTGCCCCTCCTCCTCTCCCTCCCTGCCACCGATCAGCTGATGGCCCTTGCGAGGGAGGGGGAGAAGCCGAGCCGCAGCGCACTCGCTGCTCTGGGGAGGAGGCGGAGAAGAGGTGGGGATGGGGCTGTGATGACGGGGGATGGAATCAGGGCATATCCCCCTCCAGCTCCCTGCCGTGAGCCGCTCTGGGCAGGGGACTGGGAGCACCCCCACGACCCTAGTCCACGCCCCCAGCCCTCTGTCCTGACCCCTGCACACCCCCACACACTCCCAGCCTTCTGCCTGGACCCCTGCACCCCCCCACACAAACTCCCAGCCCTCTGCCTGGACCCCTGCACCTCCCACACACCCCAGCCTCCTGCACTGACCCCTGCACCCCCCACAACCCCAGCCCCGACTCCAGCCCTTCCTCCACATACCCAGCCCCACCATGCCCTGACTTTTGCACCCCCCACATTCCCACCCCCACCCTGAGCACCAAACAGGAGCCCCTGCACCCTCCCGCCCACATTCCCACCTGCACCCCTCGCACCAAATGGGAGCTGCCCAGGTAAGCACTCCACACCCAAACCTCCTGCCACAACCCTGAGCCCCCTCCCTCATTCTCGCTCCTGGCCAGACCCTACACTCCAACCCCCAGCCTGCTCCTTCACCCCCAGCCCTGTGCTCAGTGCACTCCCACCCTCAGCTCAGTGCAGAGAGAGAGAGGAAGAGAATGGGCTAGAACCAGGGAGAAGGTAGGTACCCACTCTATGTGGGCAGGGCCGGGATCCAGACCGGCAGCAGGCCGAGTGGCAGCGGGCTGAGGCGCTCAGCCCACTGCTGGTCTGGGGTCCCGGCCGCCGGCCCTGCTCAGCCCACTGCCGGTCTGGGGTTCTGGTTGCCAGCCCCTTGCCAGCTGGGGTCCCGGCCACAGGCCCCGCTTAGCCTGCTGCCGGCCTAAGCGAACGGAACCCCAGGCCGGCAACGGGCTGAGCTGGCTGGTGGCGTAAGATCAGCATTTTAATTTAATTTTAAATGAAGCTTCTTAAACATTTTGAAAACCTTGTTTACTTTACATACGACAATAGTTTAGTTATATGATGTATAGACTTATAGAAAGAGACCTTCTAAAAAATGTTAAAATGTATTACTGGCACGCAAAACCTTAAATTCAAGTGAATAAATGAAGACTCGGCACACCACTGTTCATCACACGTTCTTGTCAACTGCTGGAAATGGCCTACCTTGATTATCACTACAAAAGGTTTTTTTTCTCTCCTGCTGGTAATAGCTCACCTTACCCGATCACTCGTGCTACAGTGTGTATGGTAACACCCACTGTTTCATGCTCTCTGTGTATATAAAATCTCCCCACTGTATTTTCCACTGCATGCATCCGATGAAGTGAGCTGTAGCGCACGAAAGCTTATGCTTAAATAAATTTGTTAGTCTCTAAGGTGCCACAAGTACTCCTTTTCTTATTAATTGCATTGGGGCTGTCATGGAGAAAGGTCCTGTGCACTGAGAGTAAGGATAGCAAAATATGGTCCAGTGAGGAGGAAAAGAAGCTTACTGAAATGAACTGGATATAGTTAGTCACACCCCTCTTGTGTTTCAGTTTGCCCATCTATAAAACAAGTCTACTACTTTTAGTAACTCACAGAAGAGTTGTGAGGCTTAGTATATATAAGTTGCTTTTAAATCCTTGATGAAAGGTGCTATGTTAGCAATACTATATGTATTTACATTAGTATTATCTGCAAACATTAGAAGTGTGTAAATACTAAGGAAGAGAGGAATTGCCTAAGGGGGTATAACACTATGCAACAAAGGTAAGGGAAAATATATTTAGCTGCACAATAGGAAAATCTTCCAGTGAAATCTACTGGATTCTGGGAAGAGTCTCCAATGGCAGTCAGACTCCCTATTGGTTGAATCACTTGAATGAAGACTATATTAGGCACTTGGTAAATATAATGCTGCATCACAAGAGGTATGGATAAGATGAACTCCTCTCTGATTTCTATTGTTCTACATGTATTCCAAGATACTTAGAATTACATAAATGGATACATGTTAAAACACATACACCTTATCATGACTGTGTATGGTTTTGGAAATCTGTTTGTTAGGGACAATTATATTTTTGTAATTTTCTACTTGGATTTTAAATCATACTCAAACAGCCCTTTTTTGATCTCCCCAGTTTCATTAAGGATTTCTCTTTTAAAAGAAAATAAATTTTAGCAGCGAACAGGCAAAAGGAAAAGTAAGTATGGCAGGAATCTTCATTACTCAGCATTATCTTTATTACAATAGCTTCCAGATTTAAAGGAGTGCTTGTGGCACCTTAGAGTCTAACCAATTTATCTGAGCATAAGCTTTCATGAGCTACAGCTCACTTCATCGGATGCATACTGTGGAAAGTGTAGAAGATCTTTTTATATACACACAAAGCATGAAAAAATATATAAAAAGATCTTCTGCACTTTCCACAGTATGCATCCGATGAAGTGAGCTGTAGCTCACGAAAGCTTATGCTCAAATAAATTGGTTAGTCTCTAAGGTGCCACAAGTACTCCTTTTCTTTTTGCGAATACAGACTAACACGGCTGTTACTCTGAAACCTTCCAGATGTAGTCATTTCTATACTAGTTGAGTGATTTTATTTACACAAAGCCAAAAAAAGCCTTAGCTGTAATCATATCACTGCATCACATCCTCCCAACAACTGGCGCATACATTTCTTAGCTAACATATTCAAGTCTAATCATTAAAAATGTGAAAAAATGTGAAAAAATGTCGCTGCTTGTCTTGGTCTTGAACAGCATGTGTAATATAAGCCTACCACAATTATAACATACTGATGCGATTTTAACAAGGTACTGAAACTGTTTAACTTTGCTGACGTTTTGTTAACTGCTAACGAGGTACTGTCTGTCGTCACTGGCACTCAGTCACTGACAAAAACAGCTGATAAAGCAGGCAGATTTTACAGTCACATCTGTCATTAGGAGTGTGCTCTCAGATGAACTATTCCCTACAGCAGGGTTTAAGTAATTGCATTACATCAATGCGAAACAGCTTATCTACAATTGGCTCTCTGCATGGTGTGAATCTAATGTACATGTGCCTATGACATTTCCTGGCCAACCTGGATGCAATATTTATTGCTAGCAAATGATTTGCAATAGAGTTTAAGGCTCTGCCTACACCAGAACAATATTACAAAAGTTTCACACCTTGGCTAACACTACTTCAGCACCACCAGAGTTAGCAATCCTGGGAGATCTAGTGTGGAGGGGCCACCAGCTGCTGCCCCC